CCGTAGTGATACTGCCTCGGAAACCCAAGGAGGGGTCGCTATGAGTCAGGGCTGACTTGACGGCACATAACAACAACAACAACAAGTTTCTTTACCTTCTAGCAGTAAAAGCCTTGTCCTTTCTTGGAGAGATGTCTAGGATCAGGGTTCAAGTAGGTAGTAGGATTTTGGGGTGGCACCAGGCCTTTCTCTTGCTCTCTGAAATTGGGCATTTACACAGTGAAACCTGGGAGAGCCAGAACTTGATGGGAGTGCCTTGTTTTTCCAGGTCTCATAAGCTTTCTGCCTTTGACAGGACACAGTCTTATTACTTTTCTATCATTCTCTGTTACTGGAAAAGTGTTGAGTTTCCCTTCTCTGACACATCTCCACCTTTCACAGTTTCCAGATTTTTCAGGTTTTACTGCACATGCTTCCTTTACCCAGAAATTTATCATGAGACTCAGGCAGTGTAACTTGTTTTTGTATATGTCTCAGGTCAGATTGGTAACTGAACATTTTTCTTCCCCTAACTGGATTGGTTAACCAGTGTTGGTTTCCAGAAAGAGAATCAGGTGTGCACTCTTACTGAGCACTGCCCCTCCTTCTCTTCCCTGCCACCTCCCTTGTGGGTATGGAGCACACCTGGCTGGGCTAGCCCGGATTGGATGGGTTGGAGCAGTTGACTGTTAGCAAAGAGCAGCCACCTCTTCCCTTGTCAACTACAGGTTCCCAGCTATCATCTTTCTGTTTCCTTTCACCCAAGGAGTCAACTTGATATCTTGCCATATCTTATCAATTTGGATCTGAGTGGTAGACAGCATCATGGTTAAGACTATGGGCTTAGGAATAAGCCTGAACTTGGATTTGAATTCGTTCTGCTACTTCCATGTGGCCTTGGACAAGTTACTTAACCTCTCTATGCTTCAGTTTCTCCTTGGCAACCAAACCCACTGCCAGTGAGTTAATTCTGACTCACAGAAACCCTAGAGGACAGAGTAGAACTGTCCCCTTGGGTTTCCAAGGCTGTCAGTTTATTTAAGGAAGCAGACTGCCACGTCTTTTTCACACTTCTCATTGGCAAAATAGTGGTAATACCTCTTGAGAGGATTACTGTCAGGATTAATTGCATTAATTCATCTAAAGCACTTAGTTTAGTGTCCAGTGCACTCAATGTTATTTTTTATTTTTTCATTTGGCTATGGAGACGGCCCAGTCCTAGATTATTGGGTTGAGTTGTTCCTGCTGGCAACTGGTGGAAGTCTTGGTCATGCTGCTTTCAGGTGCACATTGACAACACTGATCCCGCTTTCCCCTTCCTTTCCCTAGGTGAACATCATCCCCATCATTGCCAAATCTGATGCCATTTCTAAGAGTGAGCTAACAAAGTTCAAAATCAAAATCACCAGCGAGCTTGTCAGCAATGGGGTCCAGATCTACCAATTCCCTACAGATGATGAGTCGGTGGCAGAGATCAATGGAACCATGAACGTGAGTGGGAGTACAGGGGTTCACCTCTCTGACCACTTGATCTTCCTTATTATCTGGTTGTCTGTGAGGGATTACTCTGTGTCTGTCTTACAAACTAGCAGTAAAACATATTCTCCACCCATTTTGTGGTCAACTCTTGAGTATCTGTGTCTCAGGAATTTGTGAGAGATAATCCAGAACCCAAATCGCTATTCTGTCCTAGCTGTGGCTGCTTCAAAGCCCCAGAGATTAATAGCAGGAAACTGAGGGACAGGGAGAGGCTGACTCTAGAAAGAGTCTGGAGCAGGGAATCCAGGCCTCTCCTTCCACCCACCTCTTGGATGCTACACTGGTCCGGGCCATCGGGGCTGCCAGAAAGGCAAAAAGGGTCTTTGTCCCTAACCAAAACAGTGCTGGGACAATTGAGGCAGTGAAAAGGCTGAAAAAGTTGGCTGGTTTCAGGAACTCAGGGACCATCTGTTCTCAGGTAATCAAACTCTCTGCCCCAGGGTGGGAAAACGATCTATAGCCTCCAATTTTGCTAGTGACTAGGGAGATGCTATTTTTAAATTTTAGGGTCATGCTTTGCTTTATAAAGTGTGAATGAATAATAATAATAATAATAATAATAATACCCCGACTTGCCACGTTTCCTCTCCTCCCTTCCTCCCCCTACTTGAGGAGTGAGTAATGAAGACGGCAGAGAGTCATACATATCTTCATGCTTCTTTACAATGTGTTGATGCTGTTACTGTGAAATGTTCAATGTTGTGATTTGAAGGAGACAGCTAATAGCTTTCCGAAAGCCTCTGCTTTGAGAACAGATTTCTTTTTCTCTATTGAAAAGCATCAGTTTTTCCTAATGACATAATGCCTGGGTATAGCCAAACTCAGGAAAGCCTAGTAATAAAAGCCATTTTTAGAAAACTTTCCTGCTGCCGCCGCCCTCTAAACAATCATTAGAAAACCAGCTGCCACCTCCTATGACTTGGCCAACAAATTAGCATAGCAGGGTGGCAAGTCATTGTCTCGCCTGACTTCCTGCCTGTTGGTACATCCAAGCCCAAGCCCATTGCCATCTAGTCAATTCCGATTCAAACTTACCCTGTAGGACAGAGTACAACTGCCCCATACAAGGCCGAGCTATGTTTGTTACGAGAAGTCTGTCATCATCTTTGACAAATCTGGCCTAAGGAGAAGACTATGTGGATTGTAGTAGGTGGGGTTATACCTTCTTTGACCAGTCACAGGTATGAGAAAAAAAGATGAATGCTTGTCTTCTGAAGCAGTTAGGGTGTTTTGATGGAAAATAAGCTTTGTTATTATAAGAAAATCTGAAAGGGTACCGAGAGGACAGAAACGGGAGCATAGAGAGAAGTAGAAGTGTCTTCTGGGAATCACCTCAGAACAACAACCCCCATTAGATACCTTCCAAACTCTGATTCCCTAAGTCACCAAGCAGTTCTCAGGCTTGTGGTTTGCTTTGCTAAGAATATATTGGGACCAAGTGAGTTTTCAGGGCATTGGTGGTTCAGTGGTAGAATCCTCATCTTCTATGGGAAGACCTGGGTTCAATTCCTGGCCAATGCCCCTCATGCACAGCCACCACTTGTCTATTAGTAGAGGCTTGCATGTTGCTGTGATGCTGAACAGGAAGAAAAGCCTGGTACTCTACTTCCTCAAATCAGCCAATGAAAACTTTGGATTACAATAGTTGATCCACACATGCTCATGGGAATGCTGCAGGACCAGGCAGCATTTCATTCCATTGGGCATGGGCTCATCATGGGTCGAGGGCTGAGTTGACAGCAATTAACAACAAGACGTGAGTTCTCAGCCATCTCAAGGTGTCACTCGAAACTACATCTCACTACACTGTGGATTAGGAATGACAATAATCCTGGGCTCTGCTCTCAGCACAGCTCTGGCCTTCTCCTTGAGCCTAGGGTAGGCTCAACCTCAATGTTGGCAATTTCCCATGCTATAAAGTAGCAGCTCTCAACCATGCTGTTTTGGCACTCCTGTGTGTCCTGAAAGGCTTCTGAGGAGTTATGGGTCCTCTGCTTACTCATGATAGTCCAAAGTTTGCCAGAGTTTCACTTAAAAAAAATTTAACCGGATTCAGAGCTGACCCTGTAATAATATTACTCACCACTCCAACCTTGCATTCCACCGTGCTTTTTTGATAGGGAAGAAAGTGGGTGGCCTCATAGCTAGTGTGCCTGGATTGGGCATGCTATGGGAGGAGTGGGTCATGCATGTGAATGCTGTGTGTTATATGTGTTGTGATGGGGAAAATGGTGGGGAATTGCTGCTATAAAGTATGTACACAGGATTGCTTAGCCTGCCTGTCACTGGAACAGCTGTGTCAAAATCTCCGGAGCCTTCGGACAAGCCGTGGTGTGTGAAGCTGCATCATCAAAGACCTGGGCTTGGGTGGTAGGAGGAATGGGTGCTGGCCTTTCAATTCTGGATTTGACTCCAGCCCCACAGCCTCAGCCACCCCAGCCAATTGTCATGGGAATTAGATTGGAAGAAGTGGAAGAGACCTCTTGCCTAAAGTGGAGAAGACTATACAGCCATCCCACCGCTCAACACTAGCAGGAAATTTCATGGCAGGAAATAGCGTAATGGAGTAATGACATCTTGGAAGCCCCCTTGGCTTATGGGTGGCTATTTATTATTCAGATGGAAGGGTCAAGAGAAGGGATTGAGAGATCTTGCTGCATGCTACTTTCAACCTATGTTGTGATGTCTCTCAAGGTTGTAGACTTTAATACTAAAAATTGCTATGTTGTTTAAACTTAATGTTGTTCTTTGAGTGGCTCGACCCATAGCCAAAGACCATGGAATAGGACCATAGTGGTGGGCTACCAGTGAGGTCTTGGGTTTGGTCTCTACCAAGGCCTGTTCATTTGAGCCTAGTGATAGCACGTGAGTTAAGACCAGTGGGGTCACAGGGAGACCCACAGACACAAGGCCATCCATTATCTCTCTAGTCAACAGTGTTAGTCCATTGTTTGCATGTACTTTTGCAGGAACAACCAGGGGGTGACTTAAAAGAGAGTCAGGCAGTCCTCTTGCTCAATCTCTAGTAAAGTCCCACCATGGAGAGGGGGGACATGGGCCTAACTGGCAGCACAACTGGGAAATACTGTCCACCCTGGAAGAAGTCAGACCCAATCTGGATATCATCAGATGAGGAATAAAGTGTCTTGACAGGTCTGTTTCACCAGACTGAGGAGAACAATCATATAATCTGCAAAGTCTGATGGATGTGATGGAACCAGAATAAAACAAGCTATGCCAATTGGGTCATTAAACACTTTCAAATGTACTGAGAGGAATTGAAGGGAGATAAAAGCCAAAAAAAACCAGACTCCCAAGAGAAGGCATGAGACTATCACTGGAGTTTTCTGAGACTGAGAGAGTCTGACATCTGGGAACACCTATCCAAGGCCTCCTGGCTTGGAAAGCTCCACAAAGTTCTTCAGAGCTAGTCCTTCAGGGAGCTGAAAAAGGCCTCAGGTTCGGATTCCGTGGGTAGGACTTGGGAATGTGGTAGTGGTGATGAGGTTATCCTAGCCCTGTTTGGCTTGACTCCATTCTGGTTGTCACAATTATCTGTCTCTCCAGAGCAGAAGGAAAGAGAGCCAGAGGTGGATCCCTGTGATGTCCTGCCCTTCATGGGTAGCTGACTTCCAGCACGTGTCATTTAGCCAGGAGGCAGAGCGCAGGCAGCCCTGGGGAGACTGGCAGCTAGAAAACAGTGTCCAGGCTGCTCCCAGGGAAGGTCTAGGCATGAGAATTAGAGACCTAGTCAACTCATTTAACCCTTCTGCTCCCTAATTCTCCCACTTTACAAATGAGGTTTGTATTAACTGCCTATAAAGGAGCCCTGGTGGTGTGGCCGTTAAGTGCTCAACTGCTAACTGAAAGTTTGGCCCAGCCACTCTTTGAGAGAAAGACCTGGCTATCTGCTCCTGTGAAAGCAGCCCTGGTGTTGCAGTGGTTAAGTGCTCAGCTGCAAACTACGTGGTCAGTGGTTCGAACTCACCAGCCACTCCATGGGAGAAAGATATAGCAATCTGTTCTTACCTTCTCCATCAGTCTAGCCTTCTATAGTCATTGCCTATTGGCTCTTTCATTTCATGTGGCTGACATTTGGGGGTCTCTGTAAGAGGCGAAAACATTTTCCCAAAAAATATTTGGAGGTGGATTTGAGACTCCCAACATGTCTTAGATTTGCAGCCTTGGAAACCCTATGGGGGAATTCTGTTCTGTCCTATAGGGTCACTATGAATTGGAATCAACTCAATGGCAATGAGGTTCTTTTTTGTCTGTTTTGTTGTTTTTTGGTATCTGCTCCTGTAAAGACTATAGCCTAGAAAACCCTATGGGGCAGTTCAACTGTATCACATGGGGTCACTACAAGTCAGAATTGACTTGCCAACACCTAACAACAACAAGGCTGTTGTGAGAATCAAATGAAATCTGACTGGGGACACTCAGAAATTGCGTCCTTGCATCTATTTATGAGAATAGACTTTGATGCCAATTGCAAAGGAGTGGGCTGTGGGAGGTCTTGGAAGCCCTATGAAGCCAGTTGGACGGGGGCTGTATGTTTTAGAGCACAGAGGAAGCCAGAAGTATAAAATGACAGCAGCTTGAGGAGGGGAAGCCCATGATCCTGTCATTCTGACAGACAGTGTCTCTCGGAAATAAAAATAATAGGCCCAAGGGGATACTGACAATTTTATGCCAGTATTCTCTTCTTGGCATTTGTTTTTGTCCCTTCTTTTGGGGCATAGAGAAGCACCTCCCACCTCACATGCCTTCTTTCTCCATCAATTTCAGCTGAGAGCCAAGGATGAGCATGAATGGGACAACAAGCTTTCTCTTTCTTACCTTCTCCATCAGTCTAGCCTTCTGTAGTCATTGCCTGTTGGCTCTTTCATGTCATGTGGCTGACATCTGGGGGTCTCTGTAAGAGGGGAAAACATTTTCCCAAAAAATATTTGGGGGTGGATTTGAGACTCCCAACATGTCTTAGGTCCCTGAGTGGGAATGAATTGTGCCCAGATGACCATCCCCACTCCCAACAAAGCTGGCTAGCAAAGGTCAAAGGTTGGAGAGGCTCAGACCCTTGGGCAGTGTTTTCAGGAATTCAGTGCTTCTCTGATATGTACCATGTGTTGCATGCCAATTACCATATTTTAACACAAATAATGTGTGTGTTATACAGAGTGCACAATGTGCTTTGCACATTATATGCATGTGCATGTTACCTATGTGAGTATGTTATATGTGAAAAATATGGTACCCCCATGATCATCCATCTACTACTGTTGTTGGGTGCCATGGACTCAATTCTGACTAATAGTGACCCCACATGACAGAGTAGAAATGCCTCATAGTGTTTGCTAGGCTGAAATTTTTATTGCAGGTCACCAAGTCTTTGTCCTGCAAAGCTGCTGGGTGGGTCCAAACCACCACAGCAGCTGAGTGGTTGACCATTATGCCACCAGGAGTCCTTTCCCTCTCCTAGGACTGCTGACAGAATGTAGGCAGAGCAGATTCACCTGGATGGCCAAATGCCTTGAGGGATGAATAGATGTCCTGGAGCTGAGCCCCTATTAAGTCCTATGTTTTTGTTTTTCCACTTTGAAGAACATTCTTGGGGTGCAGAGCTTGAAGAAATAGAGAGGAAGGATTGGCTGTGAGAACAACATGCAGATTAAATGAACAACAAATAAAACAGATCTGTTGTTGGTTTCCCAGAGGTGGAGTGCATTTTATAGTCCAGACTTACACAGCCAATTCACCCCTGGGTTTTAAGGGCTCACCTCATCTGATGCTCAACCCCCTAAATGGGAGAAGAACACCAGCAAGGGGTGAACTTTGAAGTCAGTGAGACCTGGATTCCACACCCTTTTAAGACTGGGTGCCTGTTGGCAAGTTACTTAACCCTTTGGGGCCTCAGATTCCTCAGCTATAAAATGGGGATAATAAGAGTACCTACCATGACTGGTGAAAGGAGCCTGGTGGTAACAGTGGTTAAGGATTTGGCTGCTAACCAAAAGGTGGACAGTTTGAACCCACAAGCCACCCTGTGGAACAAAGATGTGACGGTCTGCTTCCATTCATATTTACAGCCTTGGAAAGCCTATGGGAGCAGTTCCACTCTGTCCTACAGAGTCTGTATGAGTCAGAATCGACTCTACAGCAATGGTGTTTGTGGGTACCTGACTACCATTACTGAAAGTTTTGAGCAAAGATTCCATAGAAGAATCTGATCAAAAGTGGGGAAATGCAGAATAGAATCTCAAATTCTCATGGAATCCAGAATTTCTGGAGCCATTGAGGCTGGATGAATCCCTAAAACTATTGTCCCAAGATAATTTTTAAAACTTAAACCAAACATATCCCCTGAAGTCTTCTTAAGACCAAATAACAATTTAGCTTAACTAGTAAAGAACGTACGAGCTCTGGTAGCATAGTGCCTAAGGCACTTGACTGCTAACCAGAAGGCTGGCGGTTCAAACCCATCAGCCACTCCTTGGAAGGAAGGTTGGGCAATCTACTTCCGTAGTGATACTGCCTCGGAAACCCAAGGAGGGGTCGCTATGAGTCGGGGCCGACTCCATGGCACATAACAACAACAGTAAAGAACATCAGCCTGGAGCACTGTGCTCTTTTAAGAAATATCTCTATGGGATCAAATTGACAACAGCAACTCAAAGGTTGGATAGGAACCGTAAGGGGGCAGTGAGTTGATGTTAATGGGGGAGGAACAATTTCGGAAAAGGAGAGTGAGAATGGTTGCTCAATTGGAAGAATGTGATCAGCGTCACTGAATTGTACATGGAGAAACTGCTGTGTATATTCTCAACAACAATAATAAAATAACATAATTTTTTTAAGGAGTATCTACCTACTTTATGGGAGCTCTAGTGGCATAGTGCCTAAGGCATTTATTTGACTGCTAACCAGAAGGCTGGTGGTTCAAACCCACCAGCCACTCCTCAGATGGAAGGTTGGGCAATCTACTTCCGTAGTGATATTGCCTCGGAAACCCAAGGAGGGGTCATTATGAGTCAGATCCGACTCCACGGCAGTGAGTTGCATTGCATTACCTACCTTATACGTTGTAAAAATTCACTGCGATAATGCAATATAAAAACCGAATACATAGTAGGTGCTTAATAAATGGTTGCTGCTGCTAATACTACTTTCATAGCTATGACTGTTGTTACTGCAATTGCTACTACTTACTCTGTGTAGGTGCTCTAGTGAGACAGTGGATAAAACATTGGGCTGCTAACCAAAATGTCAGTGGTTCAAACCCACCAGCTCACTCCATGGGAGAAAGATGAGGCAATCTGGTTCTGTAAAGATTTACAGCCTTGGAAACCCTATAGGACAGTTGCACTTTGTCCTATAGGGTCACTATGAGTCAGAATTGACTCAATGGCAGTGGGTTTGGTTTGGTGTACCCTAAGAAGGCATCTTTGACTTCCCAGGAAGTTGGTTGCTCTTCCTCTGTGTTCTGTAGCCTGTGAGCCTCTGTTTATGCTCCTGATCTTACTGTATTAGCGTTGTGGGCATATCATTCTCCTCTATCAGACTGCACTCTCCAGGGGCAGTTGCTGTGCTTGTTCAGCTTTGTATTCTGAATGCAGAGAACACAGTAGGAGCTCAGTAAGTACTTGTAGAATGGATATGTGAACAAATGGGTCAAAATACCTGAGACTGAGGCCTGTTTTTTTTAAGCAGGCTAGGAAAGTTTGTTCCAGTGGGCCTTTTACCTGTCAGGGTAAAGCCCTTTTGAGTAAAGCTGCAGCCAGGGTCACCTAGTTTGTTACCAATTTTTATTCAGTGGTTCCATTTGACCCATGCTAACTCAGCATGTATAACCTGGCCAGCCCCTTGTGGAAGGAAGAAAATATAGCAAGTGATTCCTGGGCTCCACTTGCCTGTTGGAGGCAGCCCCTTCTGTGATACACAAAGCCTCACCAGCCAGGCCTGTGTTGTTATTATTGTTAGATGCATCGAGTTGATTCCTATTTAGGGTGACCCCATGCATGGTGTGCAAGGAACTCTGGTGGCATAGTGCCTAAGGCATTTGACTGCTAACCAGAAGGTTGGTGGTTCAAACCCACTAGCCACTCCATGGGAGGAAGACTGGGCAATCTACTTCCATAAAGATTTACTGCCTCGGAAACTCAAAGGGGGTCGCTGTGAGTCGGAATCGGCTCGATGCAGTGAGTTTGGCTTTTTGGTTTATGCATGGTGTGCAGAGTAGAACTGTTCCACAGTGTTTTTTGAAGCTGTGACTTTTGAGAAACAGATGACCAGGCCTGTCCTCCAAGGTGCCTTTGGGTGGGTTTGACCTGCCAACCTTTTGGCTAGTAGTCAGGTGCTTAACTAGCTCCTCATTTTCGCTTGCAAGAACCAAGCACATACTCCTGTTTGTACTTTGACCTTCTTTTCTCTCTACAATTCCAGCAGCCCTGCCACTGCCATTCAAAGAGTATTTATGATGTACTTACTATGTGTAGAGTTGAGTCCCTGGGTAGTACAAACGGTTAAGCACCAGGCTACTAACCAAAAGGTTGATAGTTCAAAACCAACCAGAGGTGCATTGGAAGAAAGATCTAGTCATCTTCTTTCAGAAGTTCATAGCAATTGAAGACCTTGTGGGGCACAGTTTTCGAACACATGGGACTGCCATGAGTCGCAATCAACTTGGTAACAACTGGTTTGGGGTTTATGTACAGAGTACCAGACCACGCATTTGAGCTCTTGATCATTCGCTGTCTTACATGATTTTGGGTGTGCAAGTCTGGCTTTCATAACAAGATTGTAAGCTCCTAGAGGGCAAGGGACAATGTGTCTTCTCCTTCTTTTGCCTCCATTGTTTTTCTGTGCCGTTGCATCGGCTTCAACTCATAGTAACCCTATAGGACAGAGTAGAACTGCTCCATAGGGTTTCTTAGAATGTAATCTTTATGGAAGCATATCACTGGGTCTTTCTCCCATGGAGCTGCTGGTGGGTTTGAGCTGCTGACCTTTCAGTTTGCAGCTGAACGCTTAACCACTGCACCACCAGGGCTCCTTTTTGTCTGCATTCCAGCACCTAAAACAACCCAGCCCAGTAATGGGCAGATGGGTAAATACTTGCTGACTTGGCTTCTAGGTTTAAGAGTGCAGTGTGAACTCTTGCTCCAGCAAAGGATGAGAATAAGGCGAGTCTGGCTCAGCTGGCAGTGTAGTTTCCGTATGTACCTATTATCAGAGCTGTCACACTCCAACCCTAGGGGAGAGCTAGTGATCGCAGCCCCCTTCATACTCCTTTATCCTCTCTGTCCATGCATAACCCCCTCCATCATACTCACCAAAGGCTCTTCCCCTCAGCAACTGTGAGTAGTGAATAGCTAAGTTAATCTTTCTGGGTATCTGCTTATTATTCAGCTGATTTTCTCTCTTTGTCTGTTTTCTATGCATTTGACCATGTCATTGCTATCTTCTATTGTGAATTTCTGAACAGCAGAAGCCTGGACGGGGTCTCTTATCCCCACACAGCTTGATTACTTAATAAATGCTTCTTGGTGATTGATAATGACAGTGAGGGGCCTTGCAGTCTGAGGGCCTGAGGCCCCCTGAGATGAGCAGCTGTTTGTATTGTTGGAAGCTTGGTGCCTTTCCTCTGGAACTCTGAGCTTTTCTTTCTTCTTTTTTATTTTGCCTTCTGTTTCAGGCCCACCTGCCATTTGCTGTCATTGGCAGCACAGAAGAACTGAAGATTGGCAACAAGATGATGAAGGCACGGCAGTATCCTTGGGGCACAGTGCAGGGTGAGTGAGTCTCCAGGGACTCCTTTCTGTTTCTCTCTTTGCCTGTCCCCATCCATTGTGTGACAACTCTGTAACTTGTCCCCACTTGGGCTAGAAGCAGCCCTCGAGGACACTAGTAGGCAGACTCTGGCCCTATACCTGGATTCTCCGGCATGAACAAGTTCCCCTTGTCTCTGATGGAAAAAGTCTTCCGAAGAGAAAAGCAAATGTACTTGGAGCAAGGTAGGAAGGGATGTACCAGAAAGCATGTATACTTCCCCAAGGGCACCAGGAGACATGTGCAAGAATGTTCATAGCAGCATTGTTCATGATCACAAACCATTGGAGATAACCCAAATGTCCATTAAGATTAAAGCACATGAACTGTGATAGGCTCGTGTGATGGGATATTAGACAGCAATGAAAAGAAATGAATTACACTCCATCCGTGTGTGTGGATCATAGAAACATAATGTTGAACTAAAGAAATCACACAGGAGTCCAGATGATATGAATCCATTTATATGAATTCCACAAGCAGGAAAAACTAACACCTAAAACACCCAAACCAATTGCCTTTGAGTTGATTCCAATTCTTGGCGACCCCATGTATGTCGGAATAGAAGTACACTCCATAGGGTTTTCAAGGATATGACCTTTTGGAAGCAGATTATCAGGCCTTTCTTCCAAGGTTCTTCTGCATGGGTTCAAACCATCAGCCTTTCAGTTAGTAGAAGGGTGCTTGACCATTTGCAGCACCCAGGCTCTCAGGGAAAACTAAACAAGATATAAATACTTCTAGGATTCACACACAAGTGGTAAAACTATAAAGAAAAGCAAAGTAATGATAACCACAAAAGTCAGGATAGTGGTTACATCTTGGAGAGAGGGAGAAGTGTGTGATCAGGAAGGGGCATGAGGGGGCTTCCAAGGTACTAGTTATATTCTATTGATCATTCTGGGTTGAGAATACATAGGTGGTTTTTATTATCATTATTCTTTTAAATTACACATAGATATTTCATGCACTCTTTTGTATGTCTTATTATGTCACAATTCGAAAACCATCAGATGTCTCATATATACACTCAGGAAAGTTCCTCTTGTGGTCTGCTGGATACATGCTCAGTTACCCTCAGGTCTAGTGGATAAAACAAGGCCTAGGACACTGGCATGGGTGGAAGAGGTCTCTAATCCTCAGAGTCTACACTTATAAGCTGGGCCACTAATCACGAGTGTGGCTGGTTCAGAGTAAACTCCTCCCTACTCTGGTAGCATAGTGGCTAAAGCACTTGACTGCTAACCAGAAGGCTGGCGGTTCAAACCCACCAACCAGTCCTCGGAAGGAAGGTTGGGCAATCCTACTTCTGTAGTGATACTGCCTCGGAAACCCACGGAGGGGTCGCTATGTGTCGGGGCCCGACTCGATGGCACATAACAACAACAACAACACTACTGACCACACAACTGCAAGTAGGCGGTGAGTTGTCCACATCACATGCAAAGGCTGGCATGTTTTAGGGCACACCAGAGACCCACTAGCCATAACAGGATTTTCCATAGGTACGACACGGCTTGTTACCAGAGCCGTGCTAAGTTTTGATCTTCTCTCCCTTGTGGGATGGGAGATGTTCCACTAGGAACATCTGCAAATGCTTTCTGGACCAACAGTCCCACCCTGGGAACGAATTTGTGATCTGAGATACATGAACATGAGATGAAATGAGGGGAAGTCTGTGAGACGGTTCCAGTGACTTCCTCCAGTTGGGACTTCCCACACCTAACCTAAAATGGTGCTTTAGAAAATTTTTCTCTCTATTTTCTTGTAAGTCTGAGGTCATTTTTCTGGTTGTGAGAGGAAGAAATTGTGTATTGACTGAGCAGCCTGCAGGGGCCTTGGAGTCAGTCATTCTGACTGACCACCAGAGATTACTATCTAGACAATGAGTTTTAAGCAGAGGAGTTATGTGAGTCGATTTGGGCTTTGGAAAGATAACCCTGATAACCACAGGGTAGTCTGCTGCCACTGTGCCCAAAGCCTGTCATTCCAGACTTCTTCTCTGCCCCTACTATCCTCTCCCAGACTCTGAAAGACAGACTCTGAGTTCACTGTGCTTGTTCATCATCTCAGACACTACTCTACCTCTGTGGTCAGGCCAAAACACCATTCCAACCCAGTGAAGCCACACCTGTAGACATCTTGCCTTTATGTTCCAACAAGAAATCAACGTTGCTATGATTTGGTCCACTTTGCTATCATTCTTGGGCACTGCTCAAAATGCACACTGTTGAGGAGGGGGCTTTTTCACCCAGGCCTCACCTGCTTTGGCTGCAAAACATGGTCCACTTTGTCCTGGTCACCGCTGATGTTGTCAGGCCAGTACCCACCCTGTAAAAAAGCACTTCCATTGAACCTCCTACCACCCAGATAGACTATACCTGTGGTCCACACCCCTCCTTGCCACTGTCATCTATCAATATCCTAGTTCTTCTTCATAATTCTTTGAAGTTGCTAACACCTGGCCCATAGCCTTTTTCTCTCCCCTAGTCCCTATAGCCTAGATTGTCTGCGTTTGAGTCCCAACTCTGCAAATTCCAACTATATAATCTTGCCTAACCTCTTAGGAGGGCTGGTGGCCTAGTACCTAAGGCATTTGACTGCTAACCAGAAGGCTGGCGGTTCAAACCCACCAGCCACTCCTCGGAAGGAAGATGGGGCAATCTACTTCTGTAGTGATACTGCCTCGGAAACCCAAGGAGGGGTTGCTATGAGTTGGGTCCGACTCGATGGCAAACAACCACAACCTCTTTGAGACCTTGTAAGGCTTATTCTCTTATCTGCCTAGATAAACTCCTACTTTTCATTCAAGAGTCATCTTAAGTTTTTGTTTTATGTTGCAGTGTAATCCATACTAAAGACTGTAGTCTTTGAGCATCAGTAAGTGCTTCAAGTCCTCTTTGCTTTCAGCAAGCAAGGTTGTATCATCTGCATATGGCAGGTTGTTAATGAGTCTTCCTCCAATCCTGATGGCTCCTTCTTCTTCATATAGTCCAGCTTCTGTGATTATCTGCTCAGCATACAGATTGACTAATATGATAAGAAGATACAACTGCGATGCATACTTTTCTCGATTTTAAACTATGCAGTATCCCCTTCTGTTCAAACAACTGCTTCTTGGTCTATGTACAGGTTCTGAATGAGCACATTAGAAAAGTGAAGTAAGAAGCAAATACACAGGCTCTGTATACACAGATGGTGAGGCTATGTCACTGTTAGACATGTTGCCTCTCATTTCATCCACTTCTGCTTCTGGACTTCCTTTCAATATACTTTCAATACCTATCCCCTGCTATGCAGTTGAAAATGAGGCCCACTGTGACTTTGTGAAGCTGCGGGAGATGCTGATTCGGGTCAACATGGAGGATCTGCGGGAACAGACCCACACCCGGCACTATGAGCTGTACCGCCGCTGTAAGCTGGAGGAGATGGGCTTCAAGGACACCGACCCTGACAGCAAACCCTTCAGGTACTTCTTCTTCCCCAGCTCCTTCTAGCCAGGTGGTGTGCAAACCTTGCCCTGGCCAATTCACCAGGGAGATGAGACACAGGGGCTTAAGACCTAGAGGAGCAAGGGTAACCCACTTGGCAGTTCCACTTGTCCATTCCCAATCTGCCCCTGCACAGTTGCCAGGGAGAGCAGTGGCTGGGCAGGCTTATAACAAGTACTGCCACCCCACTCCAGTGAGCGAGGAAAGGACAGAGGCCCCATCATAAGTACACGCTTGAGTGTTCCAGCCAAGCTGTGCTGGAGGGGAGCTCTCAGATGGGGCCTTCCTTGTCCTGCAGGGTGGTCCTTGTGGCTGTCCTCTGCCCTACTTTCTTCATCAGACCCCTGCTGAACTGTCAGGTTTCTACCCTCTTCCCCAGGATCCAAACCAGATCGGTCTGGGTGGCAGTTATTTTACACTTAGTGATGAATTGCAGTCTCCTTATTCACTGTCCTTAGAACTCCATTCAAGTGTCAAGTGTATACTTTGCTTTCACCACAGAATGTTAATAGTCATCAGCATGTTTCTCAACTCAGAATCTAAGATGCTTTCAGAGACAAGGAATGATTTTGAAAGCAGCTCGTTGTGCTTTTATTTTAGGAATGAGATCCCAAATGGGTGTTAGATCTGTATGCATGACATGTGACATAAGCCTCACATTTTCAATGACCATGTAGTGCCCTTTACCATGGAGGGAAAGGCTTGGTCTCATTTCAGGAAATGTCAAGCAAGTGAGGGACACATCTACGGGTGAAGAAGCCTTTCTAATGGCAACTGAAATCCCACAGTACCTGTTCACAGTAGAAAGCCAAACTGGGGCAAAGCATTAGGCAATCCTTTGGGGATGGCCTCGTTCAGGAAGGGCAGACTCAGTCCTCTAAACATGGGTCAGGACAGAGGCCACTGGAGCGCCTGAGGCTGGAGGAAGGTGTGCTTGTATCTATCTGGTGGAAGCTCCCTTAGATTTTTCTCTCCTTCCCCTCCAACAGCTTGACCTGCGTCTATGGGGGAAGAGATGTGCTTCTTACTGTTCTAGACTAATCCCTCTACCTGTTCATTGAGTCCCCCACTTTCCTCCTTTGAAGGAGCCCTGGTGGCGCAACAGTTAAGCTCTTGGCTGCTAACACAAAAGACGGTGATTTGAACCCACTCAGCAGCTCTGTGGGAGGAAGATGTGACAATCTGAATCCATAAAGATTATAGCTTTGGACACCCTACAGGGCAGTTCTACTATGTCCTATAGGGTCACTATGAGTCAAAATTCACTCCACGGCACCTTACAACACAACCTCCTCCTTTGCTCCATCCCAGACACCTCTCTCCTTCCTTCACCTTTGCCCTCTTCACTCTCCTTTGTGAACCCCATTCCATGTTGTATATAAACATTTTCATCCTGAAGAAATTCCTTAACTCTGCTTTTCCTCTCCACCCTCTGCCCCATCAAGAAGTTTATCAAGGAGGAGAAAGAGTTGTTGTATACTTATTGTCTCTCCTTCGTCTTTCATTTACTCCTCAACCCAATGCAGTCTGGCTCCTACCCTAACTGTCCCACCAAAATGTTCTCTCCCAGGTCAGCAATAGCACTACCTGTTACACCTTGCTATCAAGGTAATTCTGAGTTATTAGCAACCCTATTGGCTGCTAACCAGATGGCTGGCAGTTCATACCCACCAGCCACTCCTCGGAAGGAAGGTTGGGCAATCCTACTTCCGTAGTGATACTGCCTCGGAAACCCAAGGAGGGGT